CGTGCGTGCGTGCGTGCGTGCGTGCGTGCGTGCGTGCGTGCGTGCGTGTGTGTGTGCGTGTCTGTGTGTGCACGCAGTCGTGTTTACGTCAAGAAGACATTCTGCTAACAGGTTAGAGAAGGGTCAATCTTGAAATTGGTTGAAATTGAAAGTTATTTCGACGAAAATCGTTTTTTGTTGAGGGATGTGTTGTAAAATGCAATAAATGAATAGATCCTCGCCATTTCTGCGTTTTGCGTATTTCAGCACCCAGTGTCTATATATTGCGTTACGTCACTTACGTGCCACATGTACATATCGTATCATTTTTTCGATCTTTGGCGGATCTTGTTGGTGTTATTGCTAATATCGGTTTTGCCTGCCACCAGAACTGATCGTTACACAAGATCGGATGGTATCAGAAGTAGATTTACTATTCTTACTATTATACGACTTACGATGGTATCAAGCCAGTGCTGGATAGGAAAACATAGTTAGTTTCGTTATGTTTTGAACATTTATAGCTTTGATTCTTATATTAATTTGAATGGTACTTTTTTATTCTACTGCACTTCGTATTAATTAGGAAGATTTGTTGATTTTTTTAAAATAAAAAGTAATTCATTCATTTCCTTCATAAATATCACGAATTGACCAATTGAAACTGTAGGCACGTTTTTTTCCCTTCCAAAAACCCATAAGAAAACACATTCCTCATCGTCATCATCTTGTTTCAGTAAGTTAAATAAAATGGCGTGACTAGTTTGACAAAGCTCAAAAGTATAATTTCCGAGAATTATTCATCATTCAGTTGGTATTTTGTAAGGGATCATTATCATTGCAATGTCACTGAGCTTTGTGTACGTTCGATTCAGCAGCTGATAATGTCTATCACTGAAACTTGATTGGGTTTTGTTAACCTACTATAGCTGCAAGGAAATAACAGTAAGTGTGACAACATTTTTTTACTAATACAGTATCCGTACGATCCCGTTGTTATGGCTGTATAGTACATATATGACATCAGCACTGCTGAAAATAGTTAGCTATCCCAGACTGCTTGCTTCCTCAGATATGATTCCAACTACTGCTGTTATATACAGACTTAAGTATAATAATAATTGTTTTTGTTTTATGTAAATCAGCATTGAATGAATCAAACATTTTGTGATTTTGTGGTGCGGCATATATTATGATAATATAGTATAGTATATACAGTGTATCACATATATATATATACAAGGTATTGCATATATATATAATATATACATTGGTATACATATATATACATATAATCCAGGTATACGATATTACCTAAATCAAGTCAGCTTTACCGAGTATGCATTATAAAGGATTTAATAAAGGAAAAACCGATTGTTGATAAAGTAACGAATTAAACCTCGTTTTAATTTTTTTTCATTCTCCTAGTTGTGTACTTCTACTAGAATTCCCTACCTTGTAATTAGTTGACAGAATGCAGGTTAGCGTTATATGGTGTGGCCTAGCGTCCCCGCATAGAACCTCCATGTTTAGTTAGCATCCTGTTTCTAGAAAATCAACTACTTACTATTGAATTACTACTACTTCACAACTTACTGTAGAACCCAACTGGATCACTAACACTATTATCACTGTCTAATCCAGGCAAATCTATAAATATCATTATTTTTGAATTCCAAAATGTTTTGATCCAAATTTTTCCGAATTTACTTAATGAGTCAAGCAAGGTTTCTCTGCGTTATTTATTATTGATTTAAGTTGTTACGGGGGTTACGAGAGCGACTCTACCTTCTGTGACGTGTGCACAGTGGCGTGCGTTCTGTAATATTGTGTGTATGAGGAGAATGCATCTGAACGACATTCCAACTGGGGAATTGTTCAGGCGATAGAAGAGAGAGTACGATAAAGATAAGAGTTGGTAGAAATTTGGTGTTTATATATAATGATTTTTATTATCTGAAGGCCTGCTTCGAAGGTGCCTACATGTGATTGATGTAGACTGGTACAGCTGATTCGAGACGTGTGTGTGTGTGTGTGTGTGTCTGTCTGTGTGGTGTGTGTTTGATGTGTGTGATGTGTGTGTGTGTGTGTGCGCGCGCAGCGCGCGAGCGTGCGTGGCGTGCGTGCGTGCGTGGGTGTGTGTGTGTTGTTGCGCGCGCGCGGTGCTTGTGTCGTCATTGCAGTCGCAAGCGCGTAAGCCAGGGTGGGGGGGGGGGTCCTGGGGCCCTAGAACCCCCAATCAAAATAAAATCAATTGATTGTTGAATAGCACTTATTTTTACATTTTATACGCTAAAAAAAAAAATATTTCAGACCCTTATTACTCGCTCGAGGACCCCCCCCCCCCAATCAAAATTCCTGGCTACGCCATTGGCGTCTGTGTGCGTGTGCGTCTATGTGCGTGTGTGCGTGTATGTGTGCGTGTGTGTATGTGTGTGTGGCATCGGAGTCATGTAGTCAGAAAAATTGCGATATAAACATGCGTGCTATCAGATATGTAAAATACTATTGATGAGTTACTTATACAAATGGATGGTAAGTTATCCTACTTAAGTAATAAGTGAAGTATCTTGACATGGAGAGAGGCAGTTAAAGATATGTAAAACGATGGAGGCAGACGGAGAAATAGGGTGGAGAACGCAATTGGGTGAGAGCGAAAGACAGACAGAGAGATAGAGGCAGAGAAAGTAAGAGGAAGAGAATGGGTGGGAGGAATGGAGCGGCAGTAACGGGGGTATGGAATTTGTGAATGTGGAATGAATATGTATTCCTCATAATGATGGCTACTAATTATCGATATAATTTGGAGAACAGAAATTACTATTCAAAACGTTGCAGTCCATTTTTTACTTACATAGACAGTGTATGTAGACATATTAACTGTAACATATTAATATAAATTATTATCTTATAATACACACGCGCGCACACACGCACGCACGCACACGTGTGTGTGCGTGCGTGCGTGCGTGCGTGCGTGCGTGCGTGCGTGTTTGTGTGTGTGTGTATGTGTGTGTGTGTTCGTGCGCGTGCGTGCGTGCGTGTGTGCGTGTGTGTGTGTGTGTGTGTGCGTGCGTGCGTGCGTGCGTGCGTGCGTGTGTGTATATAATATGTCTCGCATCTCTCCGTTTCTTCTTCTTCACTCGCCTCTCGCGGATGGTATCGCCCACGAACAGTCAAGCATGGAAAGACTTTTGCAGTAATGGCCGTATTTCAGCCGAAACTTTTTCACCTCGCGATGCACAAAATGTGAATTTACGGCTATAATACACGCACACGCGTGCGTGCGACCATACCCGCGTGTGCGCGTCCGGTCGCGTGCGTGTATGTTTGTTTGTGTGACTGTAAAAACGCGTATTATAGCCGTATATCCACATTCTGTGCTTTGGTGGGGAGAAAAAGTTGAGGCTGAAAACCAGTCATTTGCCTGGCTAACTTTTCACCGTGCAACTGATGCCGTGGGCGATACTATCCGCGAGAGGGGGAGGGAAATACTGAGGGGAATGGAGTGAGAGGGGAGGAGGAAGGAAAGAGGAGAGAAAGGAGGGAATATAATATAATTGCCCTTTCACCCAATCAGAGGACTTGTTACACATAATTTAACAGCGGTTGATATATTTTACCAATCTAATCTAATCAATCTAATCTAATCAGAACACTATCTAAAAATGTCTGATGGAAAAGGTTGAAACGTTTAGATGCAAACGAGTTTGAATTTCACTTATCTGATTCGGATTGTAAATAGGGTATGAGAAATGTAAAGATTATGAAAAAGTTTAACTTGTGAAAATTACAAATTTGTATATTTCGATAGTCCAAATGGAAATAAGTGCGCTAGTCATACTTTCTGTGTATACATACTTGGTAGTTATCTAATTTCATGAATTAACAAATTATGTATGCATGGATAATTACCTAAATAAATAAAAAATGTATAAAAAAACGGCATAACATCGAGACAATTCTACAAAAAACGCATCTGTCAAATAACATTAAAATAGTTTTATTAAGATACATACGTCTATGAAAACAGGCCATACATCACACGACACGGTCGCCATCTTGTCGTTTATCCCCGCCAGTTGACACAACCCTGGATATGTCCATTACAAATTGCGTCATTAGAAATATCGGATTTACACTCACTATAATGATTAGAACAATGTTAAGCACTCTGACAGGAAATAAATAATACTTGTGTGGTTTTGACTAGCTATGACAGCAACAATACTAGTGATTTTACTACGTAACTCGGTGGGTACACACTTGTCTCAATCAAAGAATTGACCAACCAAAGGGGTGAAACTATGATAGCAACAGCGTGCACTAAGTTTCAACGATGCGTACTCGTGTTTTTTCCCGCCGATATATCGCGTTATATATTTTTCTAATAAAGGTTGTATTGTAATTCACACTACGCCTCGTAAATACGACGTGCTGTGTCACGTCGGGATGTCCCTTCCGTCGAATACATCAAGTCTTACTCTCAACTACAGCCCATTCAATATGACCATTTGCTAGAATTGTGATTATGGTTAGCTGTCGCACTCACAAATAATAATTTTTTTTACCGCGGTTGAAATAACGATTTCTGAGTACGATGGCCAACCATACACGTAAGCATTACGCGTGCTGTAACTTAAAACGATGACGTCGCTGCGTAGAAAAAAACCTCACGCTCCAAAAACAGCATTCGCACAGCGCAGCCGCAAATGCCCGTAAACCCTTTTACGAAGACCCAGAGAATGCCAAAACTCATCAACGCGTCAATATGGGCACTTAATCGTGGCTATCGTTTAAAGGAGCTCCGGAAATTTTAAACGGTTGTGAAGTAAAATCGACATTCCGCCTTGCACGTGGGAACGAACTAACCGTCGACATTTAAACCGACAACAACAACATCTATATCTATTGCACTGCAGTGACCAGCGCGATCACTGTCTACGTAGCATCACCGTATAATAATAATATTAATATTAATAATTATCCGCCTGTCTTATTTAATCGTATACACAGTTGAAATAGTAGAAACTGATAATTAATCCGAACATCATATTTATATATCATATCATGCAACATTCCATAGTTGACTGAACAGAAATCATAAAGGACCACTATGAGTAATTAACGATTTAACCAATTCAACATAGATTTAGTTTACTACTGAATATCTAACCAATCATGTCGAGCCGCTGTTATCACAATATTGCCATTTAAAACTCTTCTTGCTTGTATAGATCCATCAAGACAGAATGACGAGTGACTATAAGGAAGGATCTAAGCGAAAACTACACTCTTACTCTTATGACTAGGAGATGCTAGTAGATGTAGTATATTATCATTTCAGAACCCACGGGCTACGGCACTAACTCTCACGATGCGGTGTACTCTTGCATATCCATCAAGAGTCCATAGTAGAAAAAAACTTCTCTAAATTTTCTATTATGGACTCTTGCATATATATCTACCAGGCGGCAATTAAAATGGTCATCGTTGAGCGAATTTCAAGAATGACAACTTCAACAACATAATAATGATGATCTGACAATCTCATGATTTTCTAGATGCTACAATGAACTCCGATTAAACGTAGAAGGACACCCCCCCCCACACCCCTCGCGCGCGTGCACACACACACTGCCAGCAAGGCACCAATTGTAAATACAATCTGTTCATAAAAAAGTATCCGTCCTATAAAATTTCCAATACGATTACCTGTAATCGTTAGCTAGAAATTAAGATGCGGTGGATTAAGAAATACCCAACGAATACGGTCGGGAATGCATCATAGCAAACTAATATGTATCATGGCTAAGCGAAGAATCATCCATCATTGACACGATCATTTCTGCGCGACCTCTTCCGACATTTCTGGTAATTGGAGTTGCATACATACAAATCGAAGATATACTGGTTGTACACATAGCATCATCACGTGGGAGGTACAAGGCGTGCCTACTTACAGTCGGCATACTCTTCAACCAAACTCATACTCACACTCATTTGTTTTACGTTGCGTAAACTGTTGACCCATTGAGTTTCCTTCCCATACTCAGAAGCAGGAATACGTTCAGTTATACGGGCAAGAGTAGTATGAACATATTTATACGTTCACAATAATAGACAATATCGATAATCTTCTCTTGATACGACGTGATACGAAAGACCCACTCTTTACACGATACAAATATGCATAGTATGTTCACTGGAATTGTTGGTGATCATATTGCAAGCTTCTAAACGCTTCAAATAACTATCCTGCCATAGAACCACAAAGTTGACAATTAACGACTGACTTGTATAGAATGAATCTACTCTAGTGGGCGAAGACTGTTGCTTGCCTACAGGTGGCACCTCTGTGGCAAATATGATCCCCACCGAGTTAAATTGCTGGCAGTAGGTAATAAGGTAAGTTGAATGCGCGTGAATGGATTGCTGGGAGCCAATGACCGGCGGGCCACTCACGTTCGTGTTTAATCTCATATTGCTGACGCTAGACAACGTGAGGTTGATGTATAAACACATTCATACACGCACGCACGCACGCACGCACGCACGTACGCTAGGCTGTCACGAAGGACCTCCCACGGCAACGATAAAACGCTCGTTCACGTACGCACGCACGCACGCACGCACACACGTACACACGCACGCACGCACGCACGCTAGGCTGTCACGACGGACCCCCGACGCCAACGATAAAACTCTCGTTCACGCACGCACGCACGCACGCACGCACGCACGCACGCGCGCACGTACGCAATACACAATATATAGTAACAATAAATAACAACAAACTAACAAATAATCACAATGAAATGGAATACTTCGACAGGCAGCGATCGCAATGCTCCGGATGAGCGCGTTTGTGCTCGTTCTAAACGGCAGCACGACGGTCTGCCGGTAAACACCCCGCCATCATGACAAGCTGTCACTTACCGTATCTGCACGGGTGGAATCCACTCCAACCCCTAACAACACTCGATAAATCTCATTTAATAGGCCAGTTACGCCTGGAGAGAACAACGGAGAGAACGGAGAAAAACCATCGAACAATATCGAACATCTAATAGTGGCTACTAGTACTACATATCTGATTTGTACACATCAAGTCTATTCTAGTAATGTTCTATCTATCTACACGTCCTACCTTTTGGCAAGCTTGCATGCATATCACGACAAATAAAGAGGGTTTATTGCAAAAAAAAAACATTGAAGAAAATAAAAACCTACCTTCATTTAGGGTAATATAGAAAGAAGAGGTTGTACAAACAAGAGAACACGTTGGATGGTGTTAGGGATGAGACACGTAGGGCAGTATTCTGGGAGGGAGACACGTAGGGCAGTATTCTGGGAGGGAGACACGTAGGGCAGTATTCTGGGAGGAGACACGTGGGGCAGTATTCTGGGAGGGAAACACGTAGGGCAGTATTCTGGGAGGAGACACGTGGGGCAGTATTCTGGGAGGGAACACGTGGTGGGGGGCAGTATTCTGGGGAGGCGAGACACGTAGCGCGAGTATTCTGGGAGGGGAGACAACGTGGGCAGTATTCTGGGAAGTGGCAAGGAACACGGTAGGGCGAGTATTCTGGAGAAGACACGTCGGGATGGCAGTATTCTGGGAGGGAAACACGTAGGGCGAGTAATTCTGCGGAGCGAGTACACGTGGGGCAGTTTTCTGGGAGGGAAACCTACTATGCTGTTAGGGCAGTGATCTGGGAGGGAAACACGTAGGGCAGTATTCTGGGAGGAGACAGCGTGCGGGCCAGTAGTCTGGAGCGGAAGAAACACGTAGGGGGCAGTATTCTGGGAAGGGAGGACACGTGGGGCAGTATTCTGGGAGGACCGAGCCGCTGGGGCAGTATGTCTGTGAGGGAGACACGTGGCAGGCATTATTTCTGCGAGGCGAGACCGTAGGGCAGTATTCTGGAAGGGCGCGACACGTGGGGCAGTATTGCTGAGGAGGGAGACACGTGGGCAGTTATTCTGGCGAGGGAAACCACGTAGCGGGCAGTATTTCATGGGAAGAGGAAAAAGGACCACGTGGGCGTATGTCTGGGAGGGGAGACACGTGGGCAAGTATTCTGGGAGGGAGACAGCGTTAGGGCAAGAGTATTCTCGGGAGGGCAGACCAGCGTGGGGGCAGTCTTCTGGGAGGGAGACACGCTGGGGCCAGTATTCTCGGAGGATGACACAGTGGGCTAGTAATTCTGGGAGGGAGACACGTGCGGGCAGTATTCTGGGAGAGACAGTGGACGCCATATTCTGGCGAGGCGAAAAACCCCCCAGACGGGTAGGGGCCATATTCTGGGAGGGAAGAACACGTAGGCCCAGTATGTCTGGGAGGGAAACACGTAGTGGGCAGCTATTCTGGAGAGACACCGTGGGGGCAGGTATTCTGGGAGGAAGCACGTGGGGCAGTATTCTGGGAGGGAGAGCACGTTAGGGCAGTAGTTCTGCTGGAGCGTGAGACACGTGCGGCAGTATTCTGGGAGGGAAAAACACGTGGAGTATTCGCTGGGAGGAGACACGCCTGGCGGCAGTATTCTGGGAGGGGAAGGACACGTGGGCAGTATTCTGGGAGGGAGACCGTATGGGCAGTAATTCTGGGAGGAAGACGCACGATCGGGGCAGTATTCTGGCTAGGCGAAACACGTTTAGCCTGGGCTAGTATTGCCTGGGATGAGACGCACGGCTGGCGGCAGTATTCTGGAGGAGCACACGTAGGCGCACGTATTCTGGGGAGGGAGACACGTGCGGCAGTATTCTGCGGAGGGAGACACGTAGGGGCAGTTATTCTGGGAGGGAGACACGAGCGGCAGTATTGTCGACTGGGAGAAAACACGTAGGGGCACGTATTCTGGTCTGGGAGGAGACACGTTGGGGCTAGTTATTCTGCTGGAGGGAGACACGTGGCGGCAGTATTCTGGAGGCGGGAGACACGTGGGGCAGTAATTCTTGCGGAGGGAGACACGGTAGGGGCAGTATTCTGGGAGCGGAGACACGTGAGGGGCAGTATTCTGGGCAGGGAAACACGTATAGGGCAACGTATTCTGTGAGGAGAACACGTGGGGTGTGGGGCTGGCCGGTTGAGCAGTATTCTGGGAGGGAGACATAAGCGTGGGGCAGTATATGTCCTGGGAGGGAGGACACGTTTAGCGGGCCAGATTCTTGGAGCGGAGGCACACGTGGGGCAGTATTCTGCCGGAGGGAAAACACGGCCCATAGACGCAGGTTATTCTTGGGATGAGACACGTGGGGCAGTATTTCTGGCTGAGGGAGACATCCGGTAGTCCCGCCGGGCAGATCTCAATCTGGACTGAGACACGTGCGGGCAGGTACTTCTGGGGAGCGATGAACACGTGGTGGCAGATTCTGGGAGGAGACACCGTGGGGCCAGTATTGCTGGCGAGGGCAGACACGTGGGCCGGCAGTATTCCTGGGACGGAAACACGTAGCGGGCGGCAGTATCTCTGTGGAGGAGACACCGGTGGGGCAGTTTCTGGCCGAGGCAGACACCGTGGCCGGGGCCAAGCCTCACGGCCAAAGGTATCTCTGGAGGATGACCAGCGTGGGGCAGTATTCTGGATGAGGGAGACACGTAGCGGGCCAGTGAGTTCTTGCGGTGGAGGGGACCACAGTGGGGGGGGCAGTAATTCTGGTGAGGCGACTGACGTGGGGCCAGTATTCTGGCATGAGACCACTGGGCAGTATTCTGGCCGAGGGAGACAGGCGTTGGGCGGCCCAGTCATTCTGGGATGAGACACGTGCGTGGTGGCGGCGCCAGGCCGGCAGGCCATTCTGGGAGGAGACACGTGGGGGAGTATTCTGCGGAGGCAGACACGGTGGGCAGCTATTCTGGCGAGGAGACACGTGGCGGGCAGTATTCTGGAGGAGACACGTGGCAGTATTCTGCCGGGCAGGAGACAGGCGGTGGGGCCAGTATTCTGGGAGGCAGACACAGACAGAACGGTTGCGTGACACGAGGAGAGAGAGGGCAATAAGGGCATATTGTTCGGAGGAAGTGCGCAGCGGCAGGTGGAAGGGGCGGGGGGAGGTGGAAGAGCACCATACTTTCTACATTTTTACACCACAATACGTTTTGTTCATCGGACTTATAACATGTTCAGTGGCAATCAAAAGATCTCACGCCCATGCGCAATATACACATACACGATCGGTGCGGTAACCAGGCAAGCTGACTGCACAAATAAAATACTCATTCAATTGAGTTTCACTACTACACGCCATATAAAATGTTTGTGCAGAGCATAAAACTCAATATAAATTTTATTTTGATTTCTGGTTGACTGGCCTTCACCCACTAGCCTTTGACTCATTGCAAGAAAGGCAGAGCTAGGTGTTTGATACCAGATTCTCATAGCAGACCATTACCAGTGACATGGATCAAACACACTGGAGACCAATATCGAACACTCTGATTAAGGTACTCAGCAACCATGTGCAGACCTAGGTACGGGGTTCTACATGCCGATCCCCTTCACTAAGGAGGGCTCCAGTATGATGGAGAACTCTGTGAGACTCTGCAGGATCTGAACGAGGAAAGTGACGAGGCCGGGGTCACGGAAGAACGACCTCTCCTCGAACATGCTCTCCGTCACCGGCGAGTCCGCAATCAGGGGGAGCCACTGGTGCAGCATGTGATCTCTGCAGCGAACAATAGAACATGCCTAATGTGATCTCTGCAGTGAACAATAGAACGTAGCCTAACGGTTTGCATGCTTCGTTTCTCTACACAGCAAGGTATGAAACCATGGGAGTAATTCACATGGGTGCCACCGTTCCACCGCAGCAGATGCCGGCGGCCACCCACCTCTCTCTCTCTCTCTCTCTCTCTCTCTCTCTCTCTCTCTCGCTCGCTCGCTGCTCTCTCTCTCGCTCTCTCTCTCTCTCTTCTCTACTCCTCTCTCTCTCTCTCTCTCTTCTCTCTCTCTACTCTCTCTCTCTCTCTCTCTCTCTCTCTCTCTCTCTCTCTCTCCTCTCTCTCTCTCCTCTCTCTCTCTCTCTCTCTCTCCTCTCTCTCTCTCTCTCTCGTCTCTCCTCTCTCTCTCGTCCCCTCTCTCCCTTCTCTTCCTCCCTCCCTCCCTCCCTCCCTCTCTCTCTCTTCCCCCTCTTTAACTCTCTCTCTCTCGGTCTCTCTCTCTCTTCTCTCTCTCTCTCTCTCTCTGTCCTCGCTCTTCGCTCTTCGCTCCGCTCTCGCTCTCGCTCTCTCTCCTCGTCATCTCTCTCTCTTCTCTCTCTCTCTCTCTCTCTCTCTCTCTGCTCTCTCTCTCTCCTCTCTCTCTCTCTTCTCTCTCCCTCCTACTATCTCGTAACCATCGTACCACCGCGCTCGCTTGACTGCGCGGCCAGCGTGCAAGCCAGACTGCGCCTGTGTCACACCTACTCGCGCCCGACGCACGGATATGAGTACAGCTGGCCGAATCTTGCCGTCCTTGTCCGATGCCTGGCGGCTCGCGCCCGTTGATTGCGAGTTCACGAGCGTGCAGTTACATCTGCCAGCCCGTTTCACCGGAAGTACACCCGACTCGGCCGGCCAAACTTCCTCCCTCAAGCAGTGTCGCCGAAGAAACCCATTCACCTTCTCTGCAACGATGAAAGATCGCTGCGGAGTGAGGAGGTGCCCTCTACTGCATCCGATCTAGACTCAGTGATCAGTAGGATCATAGATCCGCCATACTAGTTGAATGTCGAACGAGTGCTGACTATTCCCACGCGCACGCATAACGCACGACATTTGACAAACTTCCCCGCAGTGAGCAGCGCTCTCTACGAATCAATTATCGTCACAGACTAGTGAATGTGGGCGAGATGGCATATACTAATTATTCTACATCGCCATATATATTACTATATATATATATATCAGGAGTATGATAATAGCGCGAAGGAGTGCTGACTTCAATAAACTTGAAACAAAAGGCCAGCCTACTAAACGCATCTCTTGCCCTCACTCGCGCGGGCGGTGTGGCTCACCTTGAGATGATTGGCAGCCAGGAAGCTGCTGCTGATTCGGCCAATGGGCCCGTCGCTCGTGCGTTCCGGCGGGCGCATACCAGCTCGTATGCCGGATGCCAGTATATATGCTGTCTATTGCCGGACGCTGCCAAACGGGCTGATATCTCGCCCAGGACGCGATTGGGTACGGTCGTTGTCCCTGTGTCTGCGTTCTGACGCGCCTCAGCTTCCGAATGCTCCCAGCGAGCCACACCGCCTTCGCAACGTGAGCAACGAGCTGGCTGCGTTAGCTTAGCTGCCTGTCTCTCGTTTTCAAGTTCCCGCAAGGCACTGTCACCGGGTCTCGGCTGCGATATCGCATGGCGGAAGAGACCTGTCGAGTCCCGATAATCGTGTCGTACGTTTTTGTTAGTGCTGTATCCTCTGGATTAGCTGCGCCTGTATATGAGGGAAACGATTTCGGACACGATGCTAAAGCGAATGCTACGGTGTACGATTATGAGCTCAAGGTTGGTTGCAGTTATTTCCGTAGTAAATCGTAGCGGTATTCCTGAAGGCTAGTAAATGAACGAGATTCCCTCGTTTATGACGTCACACCTCCTTCCCATTATCTACTCCTGATATTTATATATATAACTATTATATCGCCGCCATATCTTACGCGAGTGCCCTATGGCACGACACTCTGCAGACCGTGACGAGCGAGCCGCCCACTAGCAATCCGATCATCATCACAGACTAGTGGAAGATGCGGAGAGTGCCGACCATCTCACATAAAAGCTCGCATACTTGATTACAGGGCCCTCCCCTTCCTGCAGTCAATAAGATTGGAGGCAATAAGCCTGCGAACCATCAGAAATAATGGGTGCACGACACTAAATTGCTTTCGATCCCAAAACCCTACTCGCCACCGCGTGCGTACAAGTGCATACTAGCAATAAATGAGCACGATTAATTAAATGAACACTACGAACAAAAAAATTATGCAAACAAACTGCGCGAGGGCTGTCTCCTACAAAAGCAAGGGCAAAACCATTTATTCTCTCGTAAATAAATTAATTTAATATGTCTCGTAAATATTTTCTTTATTTGGCCTAGGAGAAACTTACGCACGCAAAAATCCTGCGCAGCCCGACCCGCACTCTGGCATAAGCATCTGTCAGCAGAGAGTCCCTATGGCTTCATGAACGTAGCGACTAGTAACATGCAGGATGTGCCCTCCTTGCGTATGGTCGTATGTAGTATACAGCCAGGTGCTTCTCAAACTCCGTGAATGTTCGCCGCCCAAGGTATCCACGTTTGAATGAAATTTATTCTCTGATCGCGGGCCGAGGGTGCAATGAAGATCGAAACGCAAAAGCAGTAAGGAAACCTTTAGCTTGGCGGTCCTCTGCTATCTTACCTTTCTATTAAACTGCGTGTGAATGAAATTTTGTGAATAAAAGACTCGAGGGTGAATGACACTGAACTGCAGCCCCTGTAAGCTTGTCATGTAATAGGTATGCGAATAGCGTATAGTACCTATGAAGTCCCAGGTGAAGAAGCCTGTTGGCGGAAACAATTGCCTGTGTTTCTGCGGCCAGAGCGCTGCCGCAGAGGTACACCAGCGTCCACTGCCAAGGAGTACGAGGGGTAG